GTTAATAATACTTTGCTGCTGTTAATAATACTTCTGCTGCTGTTAATAAAACTCTGTCACTGTTAATAATACTTTGCTGCTGTTAATAATACTTCTGCTGCTGTTAATAATACCGTGTAACAGTTAATAATACTTTGCTGCTGTTAATAATACTTTGTCACTGTTAATAATGTTCTGCTGCTGTTAATAATACTGTGTCACTGTTAATAAAACTCTGTCATTATTAACAGTGACAAAGTATTATTAACAGCGACACAGTATTATTAACAGTGTTCTGCTGCTGTTAATGATACTGTGTCACTGTTAATAAAACTCTGTCACTGTTGCTGCTGTTAGTAATGCACTGTCACTGTTAATCATAGTGTGTAACACTCAATAATACTCCGCTGCTGTTACTGTCGATACTCTCAGCCAGAGTTTCTTTCCCCCGCCTTCTTGGCCATCAAGTCTCGAGCACAGCGATCACCTCTTTCCTTTTGGACCGATCGTCTCTATGACTATAATCGCCCCCTTACACTGGTGGAACTTAAGCTTGCTCTTCAACGGTCTGATGATGTTCACTATGAGATGTTGTGCCATCTCTCTCCTGTCTCTCTCTTGCTCTTCTTCTGATTGTCTTTAACCGGATCTGGCAGGAAACATCTTTCCTAATGCTTGGTGCCAGGCTATTGTCCTCCCCCTTTTCTAAGCCAGGGAAGGATACCAAGATTCCTTCTAATTATCACCCAATCGCTTTAACTAGCTGTCTCTGTCAGATCTTAGATAGGATGGTTAATATTCGTCTTGTTTGATTCGTTGAATCAAACAATCTCCTCTCGCCCATCCATGGTGGTTCCATCAACAGCGTCCACTGTGTACCACTTTATTCGACTTGAGACCTTTCTCGAGAGGGAGCATCTTGTTTCTGTTTCTTCGATCTTGAGAAGGCTTACGACACTACATGGAGGTATGGCATTTTGTGAGACCTCCACTCATGTGGGTTGCGTGGCCATCTGCCCATTTTTATTCAGAAATTTTTACTCGACAGGCGATTCCGAGTCCATGTGAGTTCGACACTTTCTCGTTCTTTCACACATGAACTTGGAGTCCTTCAGGGCTGTGTCTTGAGTGTCACACTTTTTAGTATCAAGAACAATGCTATTGCTACACAACTTCCTCCTACTGTTGTAAACAGGTTCTATGATGACGACATCCACATCCCATGTAGGTCGTCGGATACGAGGTTTATCGAGCAGCAGCTCCAGACTGTGCTCAAACATTTGTTGAAGTGGACCACAGCAAATGGTTTTACCTTTCATTTTTCCAAAACCGTGTGTATGCATTTTTGCCCCAATGGGGTCTACACCCTAATCCCGAACTCTGTCTCGGTGATGCTGTTCTTCCTGAGTTCTTGGGCTTATCTTTGACTGTAAGCTTACTTTTATTCCTCACATAAAGCAGCTACGTGTCCAGTGTATAAGGGCACTGAACATCCTCCATGTCCTCTCTTCCACCTCTTGGGGAGCGGATCGATGTTCTATGCTCAATGATCTATCCTGCCCTCATTCGATTAAAACTGAACTATGGGTCTCTGGTTCTGCCAGGACCTCAGCCTTGAAGATGCTGAACTCCATTCAACATCTGGGGCTTTGGCTCTGCATGAGGGCTTTTCGCACTTCTCCTGTCCAGAGTTTGTACACTGAGTCCCACGAACCTCCTCTTCACCTCCACCATTTCCAACTTTCTCTCCAGTAGGCTACCAAGCTTCGATCCTTACCACAGCATCCCACCTGGGATTGTGTCCTTCTTCCTCAGTGGGCTGTGCTCAGAACAGACAGTGTGCAATTCCCACCTTTGGCCTTCATATCCAGGCACAACTGGCTGAATCGGGCCTGGCACTGGATGATGTTGCTTTCCCCAGTGATCAGCCCATTCCACCATGGCTTATTACCATCCCCGAATGTGACCTTTCCTAATGAAAATTACACGAAAGTCTAAAGTCACGTGGCTACTTCTTGGAGCACAATATGTCACGTGTATTCAGTAACATCCACAAAATTCAGAAATAGTTCAATTATATCAATAAAACTCTTTTTCTAAATAAAAACAATAGATAGATATAGGTATGTTATTATTTCTTTCATAAACCGGTAAACATTATTTCATGTTATAGAAGCCAAACTTGCAAAATCTACAAATATTCCAATTTCCATAACTTCATAAAACAATGTCTTTACCAACAGCAGTGACAATTGACACCACTGCCAGGTGATTGAGTGTCACAAAGGCTACACATTGGTGGATCAAGTACCAGATAAAAGAAAATGATGAGTTAAAAAACTGTGACCAATGTGTAGCCTTGTCAGGACAAATCCCTCCTTCCGATCCTTACGGAAACAGGACAGCCAAAGAGCAACAGAAGGTTTGATCAGGAAAAGCCACGACTTAGCTGCAGTGTCAAGCAAGCTCGTTCCCGCGAATAGTGATGTGGCCAGGTATCCAGAAAAACTAGATGGACACAGAAGATAGAGAAGTATGGGTCATTCGTTGTTGAATATCGACGATAACAGGGTGAGAACGAACGTTATGCGATTTCAATGCCAGTATAAAGTCAGTGTAAATGGTACAAACAGTGTATTGCATAGTTTCTACGTGATCCAGGGCAAGAGAAATGGCATATAACTCGGCAGTGAATACAGAAATTATAGAAGGGATCCTGTGAGCAACCACCAAGCCACCACAAACCATGGCAGGGCTCATAGAGTCACCTGATTTCTAACCATCTGTATAAGCGGGAGTATAAGAATGGTTCGAAAGATTTTCAGCAAAGAGAAGACAGATGACTCTGCATGCAATTAAGACTGGGGCAGTCTACAACTGGTTACTTCTAGATAAATAGTCTCCTACCTTTTGGATTTGTTTCAGTTATGACAAGATGATGTACCCATCCTTTGTTCGGGTTATGAACTTAAAAAATGTAGAGATGGATGCTATGATAGATAACGCAAAAATCCTAATTTTCACACAATTAATTTATAACCTAACATTACAATATTCATCACTACTTCACCAAAAGTTGTGTATAAGCTTTAGGAACTCAATATGTATATACTTAAAACATGGCACACACTGTGTGATGGTGACTTTGTGTGAAGAGGTAGTAGCCGAAGTAGTGGCAGTAGAGGTGTTTTCTGTTACCCGCTTTAATCATCGAGTTGTCTTATGGGATTGTTACGTATCTGCTTGTTTGTTTGTTTCCGGTAGAAATTCTTTCCGAGGATCTTCAGCGATACAAGTCCTTTCTTGATTAAACCAGTTTATTCTTCCTCGATACAAACTTTTAGTGCACAGAAGTTCCACAATCAGTACGTTTCTCGTCACTTTACACTTAACAACTTTTATAATACACGCTATAAATCACAGCGATTCACAATATCGATAACTTCGCTCTCTATGGGTGAAAAACACACACTCTACAGTTCACTAGCTCGAAACTAACAGAATCATAAATTACACGGAACTCAAAGTAACTGCTGCTCTCTCTTCATTTATCTATCCTCCACCCCACCCCCCGGCTGGCTTTCCTCTGCCAGGCTTATATATTAACGAAGAGGGCATCTCGAACTTCCCCGATCATTCGAGAAACTCATCACGCACGCCACCAGCGTCACGTGACTTCCGCTGTCATAACAGGATGAAATTGTAAGGTCATGGGTCAAAGTAGGAATTGAGTATAATTCAAGAAACGGTTCTTCATATCAACGTTATGGTTGCTGTTGTCGTATCAAGTTTATCCGAGTTTATGTATCATTGCAATAGTGACGGCCATACTTTTTCAGTGCATTACTTCATAGACGGTGCTAGCGCACTCTTTGATATAAATAAGACGTTTGTGTTCCCTACCCCCACACTGTATGTATTTTGGGTTATAGTAAATTTATTAAAGTTTTTGTTTTATTTTTGGTGTAAGAACATGGCGCCATCTATAAATGTAGTTAAAGATAATAAATGCTCAATAACAGCAATAATGGGGTGGAGGAAGTGTGAACCCCCTAATAACATGTCCCTTGTTCCAGACTATCATCCCACAAATTTTGGTAGAGATTGGCCCAGCGATATAGGAGAAGATAGATAAGGAACAAACAGATGTTTGTTCTTTATATATATAGATATTTATGAGATTTGGAATGATAGTTTAAATAATTCGCTTTCATCATTTCCTGAATCAGGTTCATGACAACATTAAGTTTACTTTCGAATATGTTCTACTTTCTACATTATATTTCCCATCATTCACTGGTGGGTCAAGATTTTTAGCCAAGTAATGAGACTTTCACACAATTGTAGCAATCTTCATGATTTAGCAGATGCGGAGGTAGATCTTCGGGGGATTTTGAAATCTAATGGTTTTCCTGAAAGATTGTTTTAATTTTTTTTTCATCCGTTTTGACAAACAACAGAAATCAAGAAGAAAGAGTTTCGTTCCTAATACTGTTTATTAACCTACTAATACTATTGATAATGCTACAAGAATACATGGTTTGCTTAAATTGCATTTAGTGCACTCGGCATGTAAACTCCCAATTATTGCCAGAAAAGCAACTGTATCGCACGTTCTCTAGGAGCCTTGAAAAA